AGATAGCTAAGAAGTAAAATAGTGCTAAGAGTGAAAACGCAACTGACCTCCCAACGACAAAAGTTTCGTTCCTCGGGTTTACGCAGATGTTTTCTGTGTTCTGTAGTTCTTGAACATGTTAAGTTCTTGGTCTTTCAATGGGTAACTTATATAAAACTAATACTATATCTCCCATCTTTCACATAATAGTTTATCTCTGTGTGTCCAGACGCCATTATAAGTAACACTGTAATTTCGCCCTCGCAGTCAACCCCAACGAAAGACGAAGAGTTGGGCAAGGCGAAGAAATAAAGAAGTAATCCTTGAGAACAGTTAAAAATGTGGAGCGCCTGTGGTCAAGGCGAACTGGTTTTCCGTTAGTGTTGACTTGTGAGGTAGTTGCATCGTGAGCTCGTTCGTACAAGAAACGACACAGGTTGAAAGTCCGAGTTTTTTTCCCCCCAAAAAAAAAAAAAAAAAAATCCGCGATTTCGTAAACGGGAAATTGCAAGTGTCAGTGTATTCTGATTGTTATTGGGATACAAATGTTGGTTTAGAACTGGTGACCAAGCAAATTGCATTATTATTTTATTTAATCTGATCAGCGGAAGGAGAGAGGGCGAGTTTAATTAAACTTTTCTTGTTGGTTGGTGAATTGGTTGGTAATTGTCACGTCTGAAATAAAGAAAGTAAGATACTGAGGCTGAGTACAGCACATGATTACTTTGACGTTTTATCTTATTTGTGAAATGTTGGTAAAATGATTTTAAAAAAAATCAGCATGAAGGGAACTGGTGAGAATGTGACATGACGACTTTTAAAGAACGGACTTCCCAATTCAAGTCGGACGACATTCCATTCTCTTAATGTCCTGTATTCTACAGCTGTTTTCGTCTAGACGTACAGGATGTGTTGTGCCTTACATAGGACCAGGATCAAATTCCTTCGCAGACTACTTTTTAGCTAGTGATGGGTTTAGATGGCCTTAACATCTTTTTTCTGTTTTTGCTGTCTTGCTTTGTCTTTGATGTTCCGTAAGACGGGCTTCGTTTTGGATGATTGAGAAACAGGTAAAAGTATAACATTGAAATTGGTCACAGACAGAGAGACCTTTTGGGTGTCAAAAGTGGCTGTTTCTGGCTCAGTATCAGCTATTAGCATTATCAGACCTTCAGGATCTACTACTGTAGAATTGGGTATCTTTTAACGTTATTTAGAACAAACTAGAAACAGACTGTTGATTTAAACTAGTAAATATTTCTGAATACAGGTAGGCCTAATATAATAAAAATGTTTATATATATATATATATAAATATATATATATCATAGGACTTTATTTGTATCCTAGGTATGACTGAAAGCCATTACAAATAATATAAATAGTTATGGTCAAATTGTAACAATTTTTCTTTAATTTGGTATCTTGCGCTTGAGACGACCTTTTTTTTGATTCTTTATTTCCCAGGAATGTGTTGGGATAGGATCTTAAAATTGGATATGATAACCTTTTCTGTATTCTCTACAATCCATCACTCTCGCAGATTGTCTTACCATGTGACACTGCCTAACCTATATAATGGGACTCTAATGTGATCATTAAATAAAAACGAATCAAGAGCTAATATTTTCTTTCCATTTGTGAAATTAAATGTATGGTAGACTTGTTATTTTATGGTGTAATATAATGGGGGGTCCGCAGTGGCTGCACGGTCTGAGGCGTGGGCCTTGTGGCGCTTGGTCGCTGGGACCGCGGGTTCGAATCCAACTCAAACCATGGATGTTTGTCCGCGTTTTGTGTGTTGTGCTGTCCTGTGTACAGGTAGAGGCCTTGTGATGGGCCGATCCCTCGTCCAAGGAGTCCTACCGAATGTCTATAGATCAAGCCAACGAGCAAGTTGGGACCCGCAGTGCTCGGGTACTTGAAGAACGGGTCGTTCCCAGTATCCCAGTAATATAATGGAAGTGATAGTTTTTATTGTTTCCTTCCTTAGATTTCTAATTTTAATTTCTGTTGATAATGGAGTGAAAGAGGGCGTTGGCTTCCTGATCATGATTTCATTAATGAGGCCTCATTGTAGTACTTTCTGTTGTAGCATTAGGCCATGATAATTGTAATTACATTTGCTCAATAAATAATTTTTTGTGCTGTAATTTCAAGTTGTGCTCAGTGGTCTTGTTCGGACAAGATTTTCTCCTCATTTCGGTAATGAACCTGTGTATGAAGGTAAAGTTGCAAGTGTAATCATTCTTTTTCCTGCTCACTTTCAAAAGATACTACATGTCTGAATGAGGAAGAATGTCATGACCAGGTGATTCTTCTTTGCATCTGAAAGTTCCTGGGTTTGGGTCTCAGCTTGGAGGCCAACTATTTTGAGTTTTTTCTTTAGTCCCTTTGCATTGTGGGTTAATACCTTAAAACAGGCCACAGGCATCTCCTTTCACATTATTCCATCCTGTCATTTGAAGTTGTTCTCCTGCTTGACGCTGTGGTTGTGAAAGAATTATGAAATAAACTAAAAAACAAATCCATCACATGTGTATTGTGATATATAGGAACATTGGCTTACCTCCATTGCAGTGATTCTCAGTTGGTGTGCGGTGACATGGGTCCAAGTATTTGGGGACATTTTGAATTCAGGCGTATTTATACACATTTAACAATGGTTCAGAAAGTTGATAATATCACTGAGTCTTTTCAGGCCTGTTTTGTAATGTCTTTGATCTTTATCACTATTTCTTTAAATGGTTCATCTCAGTGTTTATGTATTTTGTGAACCAGGATTTGAAATGCTTGTTCTGAAAGGTCCATGCTGCATATACAGAAATAAACATTTTCAGCTGTATTGTCCCTTGTGTTATTCATCAATAGCTGCATAAATTCTCACTGTCCTTGCTCTCTGGTTCAGTTGCTTTGCTTGAATGTTCTTTACTCTTCTATCAGGCATATCAAATTCACTTGGGGACTGTGTAGCAAATTACCATTTATAATTCCCGATTGAAGTTACACAACCGTAAATGTGGGAACTGTCTTCTAGAATAGAAGCCCTAAGACAGTGAAGTCACTGCTGTTACAAAGAAAGCAAGGCCTTAAAATGAATGAATGATTTATTCCATCTTTTCATGATATGAAGTACTGGGATACTGGGAACGACCCGTTCTTCAAGTGCCTGGGCACTGCGGGTCCCAACTTTTCATTGGCTTGATCTATAGACATTCAGTAGGACTCCTTGGACGAGGGATCGGCCTGTCACAAAGCCTCTATCTCTATTTTAGGTAATTTGGATGTTAGTTGAAAGTCAGATTCTTCTGCGTTCACAATAATCTTTCTGCATTGCCCATATGCGTATACAATAAGACAATTGTGAAAAGGAGTCCAGTATTTTAAGGGAAGAGAAGTTGAATAAGGATTATTACATTGCCTTCCTACATTTAATTTTATGGTTTTGTCCACAGCCTACACAATGGAGTGATTCAGCTGTGGGACTACAGAATGTGTACACTGCTGGACAAGTTTGATGAACATGATGGTCCAGTTCGTGGAATCTGCTTCCACAGTCAGCAGCCACTTTTTGTGTCAGGAGGAGATGATTATAAGATCAAGGTTTGTATTAAAAGATAAACACTTTTCTGTAGTGTGTGTGATATACTCTGAAGTATGAGAGAAGTCTGTGAAGTATATGCTTACACACTCTTTTGGACCATGCTCAAATGTATGCAGTTTCAACTATAAACTTATGTCCTGCATTAACGCCAGTACAGTGCTCCCTCTACATACTACCACCCGTACCTTGAACCTGAGAAAGCTTGAATCTTTTCATTACATCCTTCAGAATTAGTATTGAGTCCTAATTACAATTTGTATGTTTCCCCATTTCGCTTACTAACAGGGTTTTGCACACACATGACTAATTTAAACTTTTGTATAAAAATACTTTCTCAGGTGTGGAATTACAAACAGAGACGATGCATCTTTACGTTGCTCGGTCATTTGGATTACATTCGCACTACAATGTTTCATCATGAATATCCATGGATCTTGAGTGCGTCAGATGACCAGACAATCCGTATCTGGAACTGGCAGAGCCGTACATGCATCTGTGTACTTACTGGACATAACCACTATGTAATGTGTGCCCAGTTCCATCCCACTGATGATATCGTTGTGTCCGCCTCGCTCGATCAAACTGTGCGAGTGTGGGACATTTCAGGTATAGCCAACAATCTGGAAGGTACGGGCATGAGCAAGCAGTTGCTTTGAAACATTTTGCATGGGCATAAATAGGGATTCAAAGGATGAGCTGTAATAACAGAGGAGAAGGTTGTACATAAATTACAATAGAACTCTCTTAAGAAGTCCAGCCTAGCAGAGTGGTGAAATGGCATTGCCGTAGACTTATATTCAGGAAGTATCTGATTTGTGTCTCAAAAGTTACTGACTGTCCTGACTTGAGTTTTTCATGGTTTTATCTGGTTGGGACAGTATTTTCGAGCAAGCCATGGACGTCTTGTAATTCCATCTTAAAATGTTATATATACTTATTATACTTTTCTGTTAAAACAACTAAAATTATGGAACTCAGTTTTGATGCATTTATAATTCTGACCTTCATGCATTAATCATGAGATTATGCGATGTTTTAACTTGTATGTTTCGATAGATCACCTTTTTCAAATTGGTATCTAGTGACATTATTGAAACTGTGTTCTTGCTGTTGTATGTACAAATGAAACAGAATATTTTATTGCTTTTAAGTTTTGCTGCCATTTATGGTGTGTTTAGTTTTAGTTCTTAAAGTAAATTACAGGGTTAGTTTCATTAGTTTTTATGCCAATATTCTATTTGAAATTTTAAAAATTAATTTAAGACTTTAATATTCTTTATTTTGGCATTCAGTAGGTTTCTCTTATGAATATTTTCATATCTAGTCCCTTAAAATGTTTATCAAGAGGGTTCTATTGCACTTGGGTTGTATCACCAAATGTAAATAACTCACAGTTTGTTAATGTTGCTTTAGTGTTGGTATATGCTTCTTTATATTGTTCTGGGTTAGTATATTTATTTATTTACCTGGCTGTTTGGGATTTATTGTAATTTACAGGTATGCAGCATACAAAAATTAATGTTTACATAAGGCTTTCAACTGAATTTGATATCGTAGCAGTCATGCTGATGATATCACCACAATGCAGTTTGGCAACTTATTCAGTGTGAATGTTGATGAGCAGAAATTGGTAAAATCACTTTATCCTAATATGTATTGATCTGTTCATCAGTGACAAATCATATAGTTACAGCTCATTAAAATTAGTAGTTCAAAATAGATTTTGATATGATGAATATTTAATGAAATACAATACAAAATTATTTTTGAGTCCATGCAGTGACATCTGTAGTGTGATAAGCTTTGGAACAACATATTTGTATTTGCAGTAAATAAACGTTAAGGTGAAGAGGTACATAACACAGGAAAAAATGTATTTAGAAAATTCTGTGAACTGTTGCAGCTCACCATAATACAATATCAGATTTATAGTTTTTAATATATAGAAGTTCTCCTGTATATAAGTGAATTATTAAGCAATGTTCACTTCAGAGACTGTTTATAAATGTTTTGGGACTTTGGTACTGCTTGCACTAACGTTTTCTTAATCTTTATCTTTATTATTATTGGTACATAGTTCCTAAGAAGACCATGAATTTATTTGAACTCAGAATGTTAGGTATAAACTACTTGTATCTACTGAAAAATTAAAATTTACCATTCTCATCTACAGAAATTAAAATAATTATGGAAATGCAGTTAACCTCTTTGTTCTTTGGGGTTAAAAATGCATCAGCACTGTGATTTTCTGATTGTACATATATCTTGACTGCAGATGTGTTTTTGAGGGACAAAAGGAAGAAGAGATTCTGTTGAAAATCAAGTTTGTAACTTAGTGTGCAAGGTAACAAAAATGTGTTTACTTTGGACAAATGAAAATTATATTCCCTACTTCATTCTGGTGTACTTGATTTGGGATGATGAATAATTCAAGATCTTGTTAATTGTTCTTTTGCTAGTGATTATGTATAGTAGGTTAGTCATTCTTTGGAATGGATACAGAATTTTTCTGGGGAGACCCCATAGAAACAATCATTTGGAAGGCAAAGGAAACATGAAGGTAATATTAGATGGATTTGAGGGAAAGTTAATATTAGTAAAATTACAAATGTAATGAGTTTGGTAAATTAAACTTAATTTTGGAATACAACATACTTCATTGATCTGATGAATGTAGTGTGGCTGGTGTCTTTTGAAACAACTGCTTGCTCAAGCATACCTGACTTCTTTATTCATAATGAATATTAGTCGAACTTGGTACTTTTGCTGTAAATGAAACTAACACATTTTTAATAGGGAAGTCTGTCTATAGATAAATATGTTGTTGTTGTTGTTACTGCTGTTGCTTCTCTCTCTTTGTTCCATCCTCCCTCCCTCCCCCTACAACTTCCCCATTCTCTTCTACATCTTGTCTCATCTATAACAGCAACAACAACAATAATAATAATTTGTTATTTAACAATGTTACTGATAAGATTTGTGGACTTTCTTTTAGACTGAAACTCTGCTGTACTTATAAGAAAATATTGGACAAAATATAATTGAAATTGCTTGGTTACTTGTTGTCTGGGTTGCAATGCCATGTACTGTTATAAATGGTTATCAGTGTTTTGGAACTTCACTCTGAAAATGGAGGTGGTACATTCCTCAAAACCATTGGTACAACCACCTACAAAGATCACATGGCATGAAAACCAGACCACAGTTGACATACTCGCTGCTTTGATAACCCCAGACTTGAGATAAAATAACTTTGCTTTGACGTAATGTAGTTTGATTAGTACAACATAAAGTTCCTAAGAATATTAAGTATCTCATGCTTTCATATAATGTAGCAAAGTTTAAATGTACCTCTGGTGTTCAAAGGGCATTGACATTATTTTTAAGTGATTTTATTGTATCTGCATCTCCATCTCTTTTAAATCATACCACGAGCTGTATGCATTTTGTTTTAACTATTTAGTATTCTAATATGGCATGTATGTTAAGTGAATATTTAAATACAGATAAAATTGTGTATCTGTGTATTGTGTACTAGAAATATTTCTTAAGTGAAATAACATGGGCATAGCTCTGGTACTGTACATACTAGATTTCTCATGTATATAAAGTTGATTATTTTGTTTAAGAAGCTGTTGTTTGTACATAGGAATATGATGCATGATATAAGGGGTGAGGGACTTCTTCTGACACGTGTGAATTGCACCATTAAATTTGGTTATGGAATATAACAGAATATTTTTTCATAATTGTTTTGAGAAATAAAGACCTGTATTTATTTTATTTATTTAGTTTATGGAAAAAATGTGTTCTTGGTAAGAATGCTTTTTAACAAACTGAAGAATTTAGAATGCTTTTATATATTTTCAATTAGTAAGACCATTGTAGTCAGATTTTTGCATGTACAGTGCTGGCTGTAAGTTAATTCTCTTATTATAATAATAATAATAAGTTCTGTTCATAAAAACCATTAAAACATGCCATTCATGGTACTTTCACATCCCTTTTTGCATAGTTCTTACTTAATGCCATAGTGATGCATAGTTTCAGCTAAACTGTGTAGATGAAAACACTATGAACTAATGTAAAATCTATGCAGTACCAAGAAGATGGTAGGAATGTGGTTCAGAGTGTTATGACAGACTTGTGGCCATATTATAGGCCTTCGGAAGAAGAATGTGGCACCAGGACCGGGAGGGTTAGATGATCACCTCAAGAATCCTGGAGCAACAGACTTGTTTGGACAAGCAGATGCTGTTGTGAAACATGTCTTGGAGGGTCATGACAGGGGAGTGAACTGGGCCTGTTTCCACCCCACACTTCCTCTGATCGTCTCAGGCGCAGATGACAGGCAGTTAAAGCTGTGGAGAATGAATGAAGCAAAAGTAAGGACTGAAGCTAGTACAATACCATGTTTTTGGTATTTTTACATATTTCTTACCAAAATTGAATAATAATTATTTCTTTGGTGGAAATGATAAGCCATATTTTACTCAACATACATGTATTTTAACATTGCAGGCATGGGAAGTGGACACTTGTCGTGGTCATTATAACAATGTTTCATGTGTCCTATTTCACCCCCGTCAAGAGCTCATTCTCTCCAACTCTGAGGACAAGAGCATTCGTGTGTGGGACATGACCAAACGTACTTGTCTACATACGTTCAGAAGAGAACATGAACGTTTCTGGGTTTTGGCTGCCCACCCATCTCTCAATCTCTTTGCTGCTGGCCATGATTCTGGTATGATCATTTTCAAGGTTAGTATTTAAAACATTATGATCAGTAAATCAGCAAATACTTGTGTG